CTCTCTCTGTCACCCAGGCTGGAACACAGTGGCATGATCTCAGCTCACTGCAACCTCCACCTCCTGGGTTCCAGTGATTCTCCTGCCTCAGCCTCCCAGAGAGCTGGGAATACAAGTACGCGCCACTATGCCAGGCTAATTTTTGTATTTTTCGTGGACGAGGTTTTCCCATATTGGCCAGGCTTGTCTCGAACTCCTGACATCAGGGGATCTGCCCACCTTGACCTCCCAAAGTGCTAGGATTATGGGAGTGAGCCACCAAGCCAGTTGCTTCTCTGCTTATGAAGCAGATTTTTATTCTTTAAACATAGGGCAGGAAAAGGCCATCTCAAAATAGAACCTTGAGGTTACATACGCATGGGAAGTTTCCAAACTGGAACTTCTAGCTACCATATTTATATCCTCTAGGGGAAAGATAATTTGATATTAAGAACTTGCCTGGTGTCCATTCCTTTCTAATACTGAGTGGGATGAGAAGCGTGAGGGAGTACCATGGCCCCAGGAAGCCATGGCTGCATGTGTGGATGCGTTCTCTCTGTGTGTGCATGTGTGTGGGTGCACGACTTTAGGCTGAGCACAGGTTTCAGAAATAGGGAACCTGAGCTCTATATTTCAAAAGGTAACCCTTTATATAAAGGCCAGATCTCCAGAAAATATCAGTAAGCAGAATGGGCATGCATTGCAGTTCATGAAATACCTCTGCAGCCAAATTAATACAGTGAAAATGCATCGATACCTGGACAGAGGGACTCCTTGTGCCTTCAAGTTTCAGCAGCTATGAGGACGGTTCCTTCCCCAACATCCTCCAACAGCCCTTGCCTCTTGCTCATTCCCCTGCCACACTGTCTTCTTCGCAGTCCTCGAATATCTGAAAGAAGCACATTCCTCGGGGTCTTTCATTGATCGTTTCTTCTGTGTTGCACACACTTCTGCAGGAAACGTAGTGACCCCCACCCTGTCTTCATTATAGTCTCTCTTCAGTTGTTACCTTCTCTGCTGGTCCTGCCTGAACACTCGGGAAAATCTAATACCCATCCACTCTTTCCTTCTAACCTCCTTCTTCGTCACCATCTACACAGTGTATGGCATTTTAAAAATGTACTTGTGTTTTTCATTCATCATTAAATTGTAGGGAATTATTATTTATTTATTTATTTATTTATTTATTTATTATTTTACTTTATTTTTTTTTTTAAGACAAGGTCTCACTCTGTCAACCAGGTTTTAGTGCAGTGGCATGATCTCGGCTCACTACAATCTCCACCTCCTGGGTTAAAGCGATTCTCCTCCCTTTGCCTCCCAAGTACCTGGGATTACAGGCACGAGTCACCACCCCTGGCTAATGCTTTTTGTATTTTTACCTAAGACCAGATTTTGCCCTGTTGGCCAGGCTGGTCTCGAACTCCTGACCTCAGGTGATCCATCCACCTCGGTCACCCCTAGTGCTGAGATTACAGGAGTGAGCCACTGCACCCGGCCAATATTAACTTCTTGACTGTAAAATATAAGTGAGAATATTTCTGATATGTTTGTAATGCATGCTTGTGTCATGTTCTCTTTCTCTCTCTTTTGGAAGTCACATCAACAATATGAAAGCAGGGAATGAGACACAAATTTCACAATTCCTTCTTCTGGGACTTTCAGAGGAACCAGAATTGCAGCCCTTCCTCTTTGGACTGTTCCTGTCCATGTACCTGGTCACCGTGCTTGGGAACCTGCTCATCATCCTGGTCACAATCTCAGACTGTCACCTCCACACCCCCATGTACTTCTTCCTCTCCAACTTGTCCTTCATAGACATCTGTTTTGTGTCTACCACTGTCCCGAAGATGCTGGTGAACATCCAGACACAGAGCAGAGTCATCACCTATGCAGGCTGCATCACCCAGATGTGCTTTTTCATATTCTTTGCGGGACTGGATATCTTTATGCTGACCGTGATGGCCTTTGACCGGTTTGTGGCCATCTGTCACCCCCTGCACTACACGGTCACCATGAACCCCAGGCTCTGTGGGCTGCTGGTTCTGGCGTCCTGGATCATGAGTGCCCTGAATTCCTCGTTACAAAGCTTAATAGTGCTGCGGCTTTCCTTCTGCACAGACTTGGAAATTCCCCACTTTTTCTGTGAACTTAATCAGGTGGTCCACCTTGCCTGTTCTGACACCTTTCTTAATGACATGGTGATGTATTTGGCATCTGCGCTGTTGGGCGGTGGTCCCCTCTCTGGGATCCTTTATTCTTATTCTAAGATCGTTTCCTCCATACGTGGAATCTCATCAGCTCAGGGGAAGTACAAGGCATTTTCCACCTGTGCATCTCACCTCTCAGTTGTCTCCTTATTTTATGGTACGCTCCTAGGAGTGTACTTTAGTTCTGCTGCAACCCACAACTCACACTCAAGTGCTGCAGCCTCGATGATGTACACCGTGGTTACCCCCATGCTGAACCCCTTCATCTACAGTCTGAGAAATAAGGACATAAAGAGAGCTCTGGTGAGATTCCTCTGGAGGAAAACTCTAAAAGGATCAATTTTCCTTCAGCTAAAGAAGTGCCCATAATAGCAGGACTCAAAGCCTCAGAGCTTTGAAATCTGTTTAGAATATGGACATTGAAATTGTTCCTTCTACGTACCTCCTGGATTATCCGTGACTTTGATTCCACCTTCCTTATACAATGTTAGCGACTCACTTCATCAAGCTTTTTGCTCTGTCTGCTATCTAGACAGTTTTGCTTTTTGTCTTTTTTTTGTATTTTCACCTGTTGATACAAACTACCGGTCAGAAATAGATGGAATCTAGGGCCAGGTATGGTGGCTCATGCCTGGCATCCCAGTGCTTTGGGAGGCCGACGGGGGCAGATCACCTGAGGTCAGGAGTTCGATACCAGCCTGGGCAATATGGTGAAATCCCATCTCTACGAAAAATACAGAAATTAGCTAAACATGGTGGCAGGTGCCTGTAATCCCAGCGACTTGGGAGGTTGAGGTGGGAACCGGGTAGGCGGAGTTTGCAGTGAGCTGAAATCCCACCACTGTACTCCAGCCTGGGTGACAGAGTGAGACTCTGTCTCAAAAATAAATAAACAAATTAATTAATTAATTAAAATAAAAATACACGGAATCCCATTCATTTCATGGAGCAACATGGATTCTTAAGAATAATTTCTTCTCAAATGACACATACTAAATAATTTTTCTTTTCTTTTGAAAAATGTTGTATGTTGTACTTCTTCAATGGGGGAAGAAGACTACACTTGGAAATGAAAGTCATTTGTGTAACTCTATAGTAGAAGGAAACACTTTTTCAATTTGGTGTTCGTTATACCTTTGTACGTCACCACCTAAACTGTTCTTCCTGATAACATGGTGATAACACATCAGCTTGTTTGATCACTTGCCACTGGGTTTTATTCTCATCTTTAGAATCCTTTTTCTTATTCAGCTCGGTGTCCAAAGTGCATACACAGTCACTGGTAAAAAACTGATTTTCATCTACATGTCTCCAAATGGACAAATTTGAAAAAAAAAAAAAAAGGTTTGTCTTAGTATGGCATTAGAGTCAGAGATAAAAGTTAGTATGAGTAAATTTAAAATTATGTATTTAACCCACAGCCAACATAATACTGAATGGAGAAAAGTTGAAAGCATTCCCTCTGAGAATGGGAACAAGACAAGGATGCCTACTCTCACCACACCTCTTCAACAGAGTACTGGAAGTCCCAGCCAGAGCAGTCAGAGAAGAGAAAGAAATAAAGGGCATCCAAATCAGTAAAGAGGAATTCAAACTGTCACTGTTTGCTGACAATGTGATTGTTTACCTTGAAAACCCTAAGGACTACTCCAGAAGGCTGCTGGAACTGATAAAAGAATTCAGCAAAATGTCCAGATACAAGATTAATGTACACAAATCAGTAGTTCTTCTATATATCAACAGTGACTACGTGGAGGATCAAATCAAGAAACTGCAAAAATAAAAATGATAATAAAATACTTAGGAATACACCTAACAAAGGAGTCGAAAGACCTCTACAAGGATAACTACAAAACACTGCTGAAAGAAATCATAGACAACACAAACAAATGGGAACACATCCCATGCTCATGGATGGGTAGAATCAATATTGCAAAAATGACCATACTGCTAAAAGCAATCTACAAATTCAAAGCAATCCCTACCAAAATACCATCATTCTTCACAGAGTTAGAAAAAAAAAACAATTATAAAATTCATATGGAACCAAAAAAGAGTCTGCATAGCCAAAGCAACACTAAGCAAAAAAAACAAATCTGGAGGCATCACACTCCCTGATTTCAAACTATACGCTAAGGCCATAGTCACCAAAACAGCGTGGTACTGGTATAAAAATAGGCACGTAGACCAATGGAACAGAATAGGGAACCCAGAAGTAAACCCAAATACTTACAGCCAATTGATCTTCAACAAAGCAAACAAAAACATAAAGTGGGGAAAGGACACCCTTTTTAATAAATGGTGCTCGGTTAATTGGCTAGCCACATGTAGGAGAATGAATACGGATCCTCATCCCTCACCTTATTCAAAAACCAACACAAGATGGATTAAGGACTTAAACCTAAGACCTGATACTATAAAAATTCTAGAAGACAATGTTGGAAAAACCCTTCTAGACATTGGCTTAGGCAAGGATTTCATGACCAAGAACCCAAAAGCACATGCAATAAAAACAAAGATAAATAGCTGGGACCTAATTAAACTAAAGAGCTTTTTGCACAGCAAAAGGAACAGTCAGCAGAGTCAACAGGCAACCCACAGAGTGGGAGAAAATTTTCACAATCTATACATCTGACAAAGGACTAATATCCAGTATCTACAACAAACTCAAATCATAAGAAAAAGACAAACAATCCCATCAAAAGGTGAGCTAAGGACATGAGTAGACAATTCTTAAAAGAAGATACACAAATGACCAGCAAACATATGAAAAAAATGCTCAACATCACCAATGATCAGGGAAATGCAAATCAAAACCACAATGCGATACCACTTTACTCCTGCAAAAACAGTCATAATAAAAAAAAATCGAAAAACAGTAGATGTTGGTGTGGATGCAGTGATTAGGGAACACTTCTACACGGCTGGTGGGAATGTAAACTAGCACAGCCACTATGGAAAGCAGCGTGGAGGTTCCTGACGGAATACTATTTGGCCATAAAAAGGAATGAATTAACAGCATTTGCAGTGACCTAGATGAGACTGGAGACTATTATTCTAAGTGAAGCAAATCACGAATGGAAAACCAAATATTGTATGTTCTCACAGATACGTAGGAGCTAAGGTATGAAGACAAAAAGGCATAAGAATGATACAATGGACTTTGGGGACTTGGGAGGAAGAGTGAGCGGGGGCGAGGGATAAAAGGCTACAAATAGGGTGCAGTGTATCTTGCTCGGGTGATGGGTGCACTCAAATCTCACAAATCACCACTAAAGAACTTACTCACATAACAAGATACCAACTGTACCCCAATAACTTATGGAAAAATAAAATGAAACAATAAATTTTTTTAAAGTCCTAATGAAAAAAAATCGAAAAAGTAAAAAAAAAATATGCCTTGTATTATCATGCAAAAAAAATCTTTTTCACTATGTATGTAATATCTGTATACACGTAGATATTACTTGTTGCATTATGGAAGACTGTTTATGTATAAAGGATATCACTCACTGCAGTGAGGAATGATTGGGAAAGCCAGGTGTGATGGCTCATGCCTGTAATTCCAACACTTTGGGAGGCCAAGGTGGGCGGATCACCTGAGGTCAGGAGTTCGATACCAGCCTGGCCAACATGGTGAAACCTCATCTCTACCGGGTGTGGTTGCGCATGCCTGTATTCTCAGCTACTTGGGAGGCTGAGGCATGAAAGTCACTCGAACCTGGGAGGCAGAGGTTGCAATGAGCCAAGATCACACCACTGCACTCCAGCCTGGGCAACAGAGTGAGACTCTTATCTCAAAAAAAAAGAATAATTGGGTAGTTTTATGTTTTATTATTGAATTACCCTCCTGTTTCAGTGTAGGGACCAGCCCTACAGGGCCTGTGGGTTTTCTCCTCATGTGCAGAGATGAGAGATCCTAGAAATAAAGACACAAGACAAAGAGACAGAAGAAAAGACAGCTGGGCCCAGGGGACCACCACCACCAAGATGGCAGAGACCGGTAGCGGCCCCGAATGCCTGGCTGTACTGTTATTTATTGTATATGAGGCAAGGGGGTGTGTGAGTCATCTCCAACGACAGGTAAGGTCACGGGAGTCACCTGTCCACCAGAGCCCTTCGCTATTTTGTAGCCGAGGTGGAAAGAGAGAGAGGGGACAGCTTACGTCATTATTTCTTCTATGCATTTCTCGGAGAGATCAAAGACTTTAATATTCTTACGAATTCTGCTAGTGCTACGTAGAAGGCAGAGCCAGGTGTACAGGGCGGAACATGAAAGTGGACCAGGAGCATGACCGCAGAAGCACAGCGTTACAAGGTTTAGGCCTCCGGATGGCTGCGGGCGGGCTTGACTGATGTCAGGCCTTCCACAAGAGGTGGTGGAGCAGAGTCTTCTCTAACTCCTCCAGGGAAAGGGAGACTCCCTTTCCCAGTGTGCTAAGTAATGGTTGCCTTCCGAGGCACTGGCGCTACCGCTAGACCAAGGTCTGCTAAGTAACGGGCGCCTTCCCAGGCGCTGGCGTTACCGCTAGACCAAGGAGCCCTCTAGTGGCCGTGTCCGGGCGTGACAGGGGGCTCACTCTTGTCCTGCGGTCACTTCTCACCGTGTCCCTTCAGCTCCTATCTCTGTATGGCCTGGTTTTTCCTAGATTATAATTGTAGAACAGACATTATTATAATATTGGAATAAAGAATAATGCTACAAACTAATGATTGATAAAATTCATATATAACCATGTCTGTATTCTATGTCTAATATAACTATTCGTATTTTAAGTATTTTCTTTATTATACTGGAACAGCTTGTGACTTCAGTCTCTTGCCTCGGCACCTGGGTGACTTGCCGCCCACATTTCAGTGCCACATTCAATAAAAGAAATGAATGATTTCTTTTATTGCTGTAAATGAAATATCTCCCCTTTTCTAGGCTTTCTTACAATCAGTAAATGGGTGATGACTGAACCAAAACAATATCATCTATGATATATCTTCTTTATGCTCAGAAATCTAATCAATCTTCATGATCAGAGGATTATTCACAGAAGAGCTTGAATCCCTGTCCATTCCTGTGATTTTGGGGTCACAGGTTTTTCTGCCCAGGAGGATGCATGACCTTCCAACCTCCCCTGTTTACCTAGAAAGGAACCTCAACATAGTCACTTTTAAAGACAATTTTCTAAAATAAATTTGAATAACACAGTAATCATGATTGCAGTCTTCAAATATCACAACAAAGGCTAAAAATATCAAGCAACAAGTCATTTTAATTTCCCTCAGTTCTTTTCACTTTGGTTATTGTATCAGTTAGCAGTTGCTGTATAACAAGTCATCCTAGAAGCAAATGGTTTAATATAGTGTTTTCATTAATAAATGTGATTGTATGGTGGGAAGTTTTTCTGAGCTCTTCTGGTCTCCTTATGAGTGTATAATCAGTTGTGTGTCCGCCGGGAAGGGCTTGCTAATCTTGGCTTGGTTTTCTTACATTCTGGGGACTCAGTTTGCTTTTGGATGATGTAGCCTGGGTTTGTCCGGGACAACCGCCTTCCCTTCCATATATCCTCTCCTCCTCCGGCAAGCAGGGTTCCAAGAAACAGCAGCAGAAATACACCAAGTCCCTCAAACACGCTGTCAATATCAGCCTATTCTATTGGCCAAGGAAACGGAAACTTCTAAACCTGGCTCAAGGCTTGAAGGATGACGCCTTCCACCTCATCTCTCAGTAGCCATATGATCTTAGGAAAGAAAGGGAGAATGAAAGTATATGTTCAATGAGCAGCTATGGAAATTCTTTTTTTTTTTTTTTTTTTGAGATGGAGTCTCACTCTGTCACCCAGGCTGGAGTGCAGTGATGCGATCTCAGCTCACAGGAGCCTCCACCTCCCCGGTTCATGTATCATGTAATTATCCTGCCACAACCTCCTGAGTAGCTGGGATTACAGGTGTGTGCCACCATGCCTGGTTAATTTTTGTATTTTTAGTAGAGACATTGGCCAGACGGTCTCCAACTCCTAACCTCAAGTGATCTACCCATCTCAGCTTCCCAAAATGCTGGGATTACTGGCATGAGCCACCGCACACGGCCAGCTATGGAAATTCTGTTTCAGAAGATCTAGACTCTCAGCATGTAAATATTCCTCTCTGCTCCTTGCCTCCAGCTCTGGAAGAAAAATAACCCTTTTTTTTCCTTCCAGATACCACATAGATCCAGGGACCTCATGTCTAACTCATTCATTAACAGAGATAGAGAAATGTTGCTTCACTGAAGCTATTGATGACATTCTTATGGAAATACTACTTTTCTTTTGATTGGCCAGCTCTTTAGCATATTCATAAGCTTTCCATCCTCATATTGTTATTTATTGAGGGAATCTTTATTGGAGGAGTTGGCATTTGAAATGCAAATGGACAACAAAGATATAGAAACTTCAAAGAAGAGGGAAAATTGAGATGTTAAGTTCCACTGTGGATGCCCTCAATTTAAGTCTTGAGATGAAAGTCACCGGACCGGGCGCAGTGGCTCAAGCCTCAAATCCTAGCACTTTGGGAGGCCAAGGTAGGTGGATAACCTGAGGTCAGGAGTTCGAGACCAGCCTGGCCAACATGGTGAAACCCCATTCTACTACAAATACAAAAAATTAGCCAGGCGTGGTGGCAGACGACTATAATCCCAGTTACCCGGGAGCCTGAGGCAGGAGAATCACTTGAACCCAGGAGGCCGAGATTGCGCCATTGCACTCCAGCCTGGGCAACCAGAGCAAAACTTCATCTAAAAAAAAGAAAGAAAAAAAGAAAGAGTCACTAGAAACTTCAAGGAACTCAGGATGAAAAGCGTGAAGTGCTACACCAGCATCCTTTCCAGTTGCAGACAGGTTTAATAATCACTAAGCCTTCATCTATGCAGCACCAAAAAACAAACAAACAAGCAAACAAAACCCATACTATTTTCTTCCTCTGATCACACTATGACATTTTGAATTTTTCTGTGCATAAGCAATTCTCCGATGCAGATCTTCTAATTTGCTAAAACATTTCTTTTTGTGCAACCCCTTCAGAAAAGTAAGAACACACTATCATTGTTCCTCTTCTCACAAAGTACCCATGGGTTATAGGAAACGTTGATCTTTTTATAGATCTCACAGATATGACATATAATAAAAATTTTAAAGTGTATTTTAAGCTGTGTAGCAAGTTATGGATCGCATTCATCTGCAAGTAACAGGAAGTCAAAGGAAAACAGTGTCTATTAATTTCTTAAGGGATACACAAAATAAAAAGCTATAATCGCGGCACTTTGGGAGGCTGAGGCTGCTGGGTGGGGGATGTCTCACTGGGATCCTTTACTCTTACTCTAAGATTGTTTCCTCCATACGTGCAATCTCATCAGCTCAAGGGAAGTATAAGGCATTTTCCACCTGTGCATCTCACCTCTCAGTTGTCTCCTTGTTTTATTGTACGAGCCTAGGGGTGTACCTTAGCTAAGCTGCAACCCACAACTCACACTCAAGTGCAACAGCCTCAGTGATGTACATGGTGGTCACCCCCATGCTGAACCCCTTCATCTATAGCCTGAGGAATAAGGACATAAAGAGGGCTCTGAAGAATTCTTTGGGAGGGAAACTAGAAAAGGGCCAGTTGTCCTGGGGCTGAAGCTATAGCCATGATTGCAGGACTCAAAGCCTCAGAGCCAGATATTGCTGTTGTTTAATCAGATCATGGAAGTGGAAATTGCTCTTTCTATTTATTTCCTGAAGTTTCCATTTCTGTTATCTCAACTGCTTCATCAAACTTAAGCAACTCCTATTATTAAGCTTTCTTCTCTCTCTAATATTTAACATATTTTCCCTTTGTTTTTCTCCTTTCTCAAAGTTATTCCCAACCTTGGGTCAGAAACAATTTGCAGATTCCCATTAGCCTCATAGAGTGATGAGTTGGACTATTCCTATAGAATAAACTACGCTTGGCACTGAGGCCATTTATGTAATTTTATCGGAGAAGAATTTCTGAGGCTATGATTTTTCAGTTTTTGTGTTTGTCATTCATTTCTGTATCACTACCTTAATTGATCTTCCTGGGAATGTAGACTTTAACGTACTAGTGTATTTGATAGCTGGTTATGGGATTTTACACTCCCATTAGGATCCTGTTCTCTTCTTGAACTCAGTATTCATGGATTCTACTATATTTACTGGCACTGAGTACTTAGTCAA